TGGTCTAGTGGTTAAGGCATCGGGCTAGAATGTGGGAGACGTTGAGTTCTTGTCCTGCCTTCACCATGAAAGCCAGCGAGGTGATTTTGGGCCTAGTCCCACCTTAAGCATGAAAACAGGTGAGTGACATTGAGCCAGTCACCAGAAGACAGTGAATTCTAGTCTCACCTTAGACATAAAAGCCAGCTGGGTGACTTTGGGCCACTCACTAGGAAACAAGGAGTTCTAGTTCCACCTTGGCCATGAAAAAAGCTGGCTGGGTGACTTTGGGCCAATCACCAGGAAATGGTGAGTTCTAGTCCTGCCTTAGGCACAGAAGATGGCTCTGTGATTTTGGGCCAATCACCAGAAAACGGTGAGTCTATTCCCGCATTAGCCGTGAATGCTGGCTGGGTGACTTTGGGCCAGTTCCTCTCTCTTAGTGCAACCCACCTTACAAGGTTGTTGTTGGGCAGAAAAGAGGAGGAAGAGAATGGCGTGTTGGAGGATATGTTTCCTCCCATAAATATTTGTAAAAATAATAAAGTCAGGATATAAATGAATAAAACCCCTTATACAATTCGATACAGCCCATGTGACATGGGTTCCATAGAAACCACAGGGATCAAAGTGCAAAAGACTGATGTATATATAAGGAGGAATGGTGTGTGTATGTGTGTGTGTGTGTGTGCATGCGTGCATGTGCGTTTGTGGTTTATTTATGTATGTCTACACACTCATATTTATTTTTATTTATTAAATACACGTATCTGCCCAAATCGCACACAGGTGACTCCAGGCGACTTACAAAATTTTAAACCCCACTTCTCCCTTCACCCCATGGAAGCAGCAACGCAATCAAAACAGCAATCAAATTTACATTAAAAAATTGGATAGCTGGCAAGATCTAGGACACTTGACTAATTCCCCAAAGAGAAAATACACAGTATTAGCACTTGGATGGGACATCATCAGATATTCCTAGGTTTAGATTAGACTGGAAATTAAAAAAAAGAAAGAAAGATAAAATTATGTCTGCATTTTTTGCCAAGAAAAACATATGGACTGTTCTTCACACTCACCAGGAATGAAACGAGAGTTGATTTTTAAATAAAAATGTACATCCTGATTTTATAGCACATATGTGGAGTTCATATAATTGTCCTCCCCATTTTTATCAGTGCATCCACATGTTTACACACCAATTTCTAAGCTCTGTAGCTATTCTTTGCTTTCCCTTTTCAAGATTATGTCTAAATATTGGTTTTTTGTCTTGGAAAATGGCAAGTGCCCATTTCCCTTAAGCTTTTAGCAACATAAGGCCAGGAGGTTTGCTAATTGTTTTATGTGTCTCCTCCTTTTAACAAAAAAAAGAGAAAATATCTGTGTTAACTCTACCGCCTTCACAAATCTCTCTCTCTTTTTTTTTCCCCTCTGCCTCCCCTCCAAACACGGGGGAATTTCAGACAAACTGGCAAAAAGAATATTTCTGGATATTTGAACATCTCTCTTGCTTTGACACCTCTCCTTGAGGTTAATGAGTGAACAGTTTGATCTTCCTTGACATTTTGACTTTTTCCTCCAAAGGCAGCTGGTTGTAGCTGTCTCTTCCAGAGCAGACGAGCCAAAACGCTTCGGTTAGTGTTTGGCAAGACGTGAGCAGAAGAAAGGCTGTAGAGATGAGAGTTGTTGGTCCCAGGGTGCATAAAATGCTGCTTGCTCGGAGCAGAATCAGTGAGATGTCAAGATACCATTGTGTGGTGGGCAGAGTTCGGAAGGCAGCGCTTCAGTTAAGGATTTCTGGGGGCTTAACCGCCAGCCAGGGTTTTGTCTTTAACACCCAGCATTCAGCATCACGTTGGAATGTAGATTACAGGGAGTCCTCAGTTTACGACCACAATTGAGGCAGAAAGTTGTGTTGAAAAGTGAGACATTGGTTAAGTGAGTCTTGCCCCATTTCACAATTGCCCTTTGCCGCAGTTGTTAAGTGAACCGCTGCAGCCGTTGAGTTTGGAACAGGGTTGTAAAGTGAATCTGGATTTCCTCATTGACTTTGCTTGCGCGAAGGAGAAGGGAGGGAATTCGTTGAAGGTCTACCCCTGAAAATAGATGTTCTTCATTCATGAGGTCTCTTTTCCCTTTAGGTGGAAAATAGGCTTTTAAGAAATCGGTAGCCTTTTTATTGTGGCTTGGAGAGAACATGCCACTGTGCTGGAAGACATGTAGCATCTCAGGTGTTTGGCTCTGTCAAAACTTGGGGTGCCGAGTGCTAGCACTGATGATGTGACCTAGTTAGGGTAATGAAATATCTGCAAGAAAACAACCAAGCTCAGAGAACAGCAAGGACCCCATAGTCGCCTCCTCCACCCTCCCCTCCTCCTCCTCCATCTCTTTTCTTCCTCCCCACAAGCCCCACTCCCTTCTAGCCCTGAAGATGTTACCTAGTTGGGTGATGCGAGGAAACAAGCAAGCTCAGAGAACACCAAGGAACCTCCCCCCCCTTTTTTTCTGAGCAAGAGTATGAGGGTGGTTCTTAGCATGACTGGCAAGAATGCATTTTTTTTTTCTTCCCTTTCCTGATTTTTAAACTCATTAATGCAGTTTTCTGACTTCCTAGCCAAGGCGCTCCCTACTAATTCGCTGGGGCATCTCCTAAGAATTCAGTTAGGCACTTCTGCAAACTATGATAACGAGGCAGCCACGTTCCAACCATATTAACTTCCAACAGCCTCACAATTCAATTAATCTTATCTTTCTAACTCCCAATTACAGGCGGTAATTAAGTAGAAATAGCATCGTAATCCAAAGAATGGCATTCATCGTTCGACTGCCTCCTCACAGTGAATGTGCCCCAAACTTTCAAGACATTCCCAGAAGAAATAGGATAGCTCATTTCTTGCTAATCCACAGAAGAAGCGCTTGGATCTGGGCTAATTTATTCATTGTTTTATTTGTTTTATGTTAGTGAAAAAAGGCTTTAAAAAAAAATTAAAATTCAAGGCAAACAAAACAGAGAAGTTAAAGGTAATGTCCCAGCAGTTCTTTTTTGTCCATATTTTCTTTCTGGATCGCCCACTTAACATTAGACCATGAATTTGCTGATCACTTCAGAGGAAAAACATCACTTTGATCTATAGAAAGTTTGGGATATATCATTTTTTAAAAAATCTTTGCTTCAAGCGTCTTTGTAGCTGTCAGTGAAAGAGGCTTCTCCTGCGGGAAACATAGAAGTGTACCGGTAGAAGAGAATATTTGCAGTTCAGGGTTGAACTGTGGGGTCCTTGGTGCTCTCTTCTTGCAGATGTTTCCTGACTCAACTGGGAAACATCACCAATGCTAAAAGAGTGGGGTTTGAGGAGAGGAAGAGGAAGCGGAAAAGGGAAGAGGAGGAAGAGAGGAGGAGGAGCAAGGGAGGAGAGGAGGAGGAGAAGGAGAAGAGGAAGAGAGGAGAGGGAGGAGGAAAAAGAGAGGAGGAAGAGAGGTGAGGAGGAGGAAGAGAAAAGGAGAGGAGGAGGAGAGGGAGGAGGAGGAAGAGAGAAAGAGAATAGGAGGAGGTGCTTTCTGAGCTTCATGGTTTCACCGCCCAACTATGTAACATCCTCAGAACAAGGCATATGTGTATAAACTGTGTGAACCCTGCACTCTCTTCATGCACCGGTCCATCTAGCACCACCAAGCTCATATGTAAGAGAGTGCTTCAAGGGAGGGAGGTTTGCAGAGGGAGGAGAAGGAGACTGCGGAGTTCTTGGTGCTTTCTGAACCTGATTGTATCTGATGATGTTACCCAGTTTGGTAATGAAATGTCTGCAAGAAAATAACCAAACTCAGAGAATACAAAGTACCCTCGCCCCCCCCCCCCAACACACGCACACACACACACACGCACACACACACACACGCACACACGAGCTTGATAAGGAAAGGTTATCAAGCTTTGTGCACAGATAGGCCTTGCCTAATAACCATTTGTGCAGCGGACATTCAAAGTTCCAGCGCTGCTGAATGGATAGTAGTTAAAGCTGGTCCTCAGAGTTTCGGCTGTTGTAGCCCTCCCCCCGGTCATGTGATGATAGCTTGGGTGCTTGTAGGCCGCCAAGGCAGTAGTTTATTACAGGGCCAGTGATTGGCATGCATAGTTTTCCAAATGCTAGTGGACCGTGTTCTCATCACTCATCATGTCCAGGCTTCCTTGGGAAGGATGAACCCAAAGGGGGTTTCGTTTATTTATTTAAAACATTTATATAGGATAAACTCATTAATATGTATGTGAGATAAGCACATGTTGAAAACCTCCTTCTGTGTTTCTTCTCTTCACCTGGAACTTTCAAGAGGAAATAAGAGAATAGACTTCAGAGTGCCCAAAATGGACTTTCTTTACCCTGAAACGGGCTTTTCTGAGCTGATATATTCAACAGCAGAATGTTCTTTCCTCACTTGCTATAACAGTTTAGCCAGCTCTTTCTTTGTTCCTTGTTTGGGAAGTGGGGCTCCGAACGAGAGGTTCATCTTCCATGATCCTGTGGTGTTTTAAGATAACTGCGGGATCTTGTGTTCCAATAACTCAGGGGCTGCCCCAAAGAAGAGGGAGTCAAGCTATTCTTCAAAGGACCTGAAGGCAGGACAAGAAGCAACGGGTGGAAACTCATCAAGGAGAGAAGCAACCTCTAAAAATAAGGACAAATTTCCTAACAGTTAGGACAATTAATCAGTGGAATGACTTGCCTCCAGGAACTGTGGGTGCTCCAACACTGGAGATTAAGAGGAGACTGGACAGCCATTTAGGTCTGAAATGGTGTAGGGTTTCCTGCTTGGGCAGGAAAGACCCAAGATCCCTCCCAACTCCAATCATGTTTGAACTAATGATTAGAGAAGGGAGGAGATGTCTTGATAGGCGAAAATCCCTGGCAGGTGGGTTGTCAAGGGCAAAGAACAAACTTCTGCCAACAGATTCCTAATGAATCGATTTGGGAGCAGAAACTCTTGGCTGAATTTTTCTGATGAGCTTTTCTTTCCTTTGCCAGGTATGCTATACCTCCAGAACATGGCAAGAGGCTGGAAAGACTGGCCAAAGGTAAGATTATTACGTACATCAAAGGGGTTGACTCCATGCCTGCTCAAGGACTAAATTTGGGACAAATGAATCAATGAAGTCACACGAGGTTTGATGCTACCGTACATAAACTGGGAATGTGTGTGTAGCCATATATGGTGATTGTGATTGCTTCTCTATGAGTGCATCCATTGTGGCACATTGTGACCTCGGTTCACATATCATGCCTTCCATAGTTAGCCCTTGAGGTTTCTCTCCTAAGCCCTTTCGATGAAAGCAGTGCGTTTAAACCTGTGATCCGGAGAGGGGTGGGATGTCGCCAGAGGCTTGAAGAAATGTTAAGTTTTAAATCTTGAGTGAAGACTTGGGGGTTCGTGGCCACCAAAGTTATTTAAAAGGGACTCTGCAGTGAAGAACTACTCCTGCCAATAATGGGGGGGGGGGAACCCCCACAGTTAAATTATAGTTTAATTTGCAGGCCCCCAGCTTCACATGTTCATGTGTGGGCGTGCAGTAACACATAAAATCAGTCTCTCTGGTCAGTAGAAAACAATTTTTCTATGTACCGGGGAGGGAATGGTTACACACGCACTACCGCAGAGGCTCAGATGAAGCCGGTTCCACGGAGGCAATCCCTGGTGCCCAAAAGGTTGGGGGCCACTGGTTTAATGCACAGTATCTTTATTGGGAGCAGTCCTGAATTCCTGCCTGTGAAAAATTTACTTGCGAATGAAATGCTGCTATCAAAAGGACGATCATTTATCTGTCTTAAATTCAATAGGTTTCAATTTTCTTCCGTCACGCATAGGCTTTTGTCTTAGTGCTCTTTTGCCTTCTTAACTATCGTTAAGAGTATAACTGTGAGTAGCTGTTCTATTACACCTGACTTCTCTATTCTTCAAAATAATCAAGATAAAGTGAGCGCCAAGGAGAGATAGTGGAAGGCTCACTTAAAAGAGCTTATGCCATATTTTTACAATATAAACCTCAGTGGAAGCTGCTTCTTTATGTAATCAGTCCCAGAACCATTTACAACGTTTAAGACTTATCACATCGGGTTGGGCTAAACAGAATCGCTATTAACTACAGGTAGTCCTCAACTTACGACCACAGTTGAGCCCAAAATTGCCATTGCTAAGCGATCCGGGTAAGTGAGTTTCGACGCATCTTACCACCTTTCTCGCTAGTTGTTAAGGGAGTCACTGCCGTTAAGTTAGCCACATGGTCATTAAGTGAATCTGGCTTCCCCATTGACTTTGCTTGTCAGAAGGGGATCACGTGACCCCGAGACACTGCAACGGTCATAAATATGAACCAGTTGCCAAGCTTCTGAATTTTGATCCCGTGACCACAAGGACGCTGCAACGGTCGTAAGTGTGAAAAATGGTCCTAAGTCACTTTTTTTCAGTGCCGTTGTAACTTTGAACGGTCACTAAATGAGCTGCTGTAAGTCAAAGACTACTCGTAATGCGTGTTCTCTAAACAACTGCAGTTTCCCTTCTTGATTTTTCAGTACCCGTGGGATACAGTCGAAGGGTGAAGCCTGAACTCTTGACTCTTAGCTAACGGACTCTTTTCTTTGGGGACGGGAAGGGAACGAACAATAAAAAGGCAGGCAGGCAGGCAGTTATTGGGCTGCCCCTTCAAAGTCAAATAAAAAGAAAAAATACATGAGATGTCCGGATGAAGGAAAGCATCGCGCCCGTCTCTTAGGAAGCCGTTCCCTCTGGCGACATTGCACAAAATAGAAATAACATATTGAAAACCGGCGACTGGAAAATGAGAGCTGCGAACCGATTTTTTTTTTTTATTCATACCATTTTCTCTTGGTCATATGTCAAGCTTTTACAAAAACTGCCATTTCCGCCAGCATAAAAATCTCCATAAATCCTGATTTGCCCATAAGAAGTATTGTAGATGTATGTCAGTATTTCAAAATAGAGTTTGGGCGTCTGCGTTAAACTTGAATCTATGGGATATTATTTCTTTGCTGCCCACCTCTCTTTGTTTTGGGGAGTTAATACTGAATTCTAATGATTTGGTAAGAACGATTTGGTTTTGCTGGAAGTGGATGAGTATGTTGTGTTTGTAAAAATAATAATAATTTGGTTCTTGGTGTGATCATGAGTCCTTTCATAGAAGAGACATTCGTAGCTCAGGATTGAACTGTGAGGTCCTTGCTGCTCCCTGAGCTTGGTGGTTTTCTTGCAGACGTTTCACAACCCAATTGGATAATGTCATCAGTGCTAGAAAGGAGTAGGATATGGCATATGTTTTACTCAAACAGTAAACAACAGCCTAACCAAGGAAGTACCATCACGCACAAAGGGGAAGCCACTGGTATATAAAAAGAGACAAAACCCCAGTCCCTTCTAGCACGGATGATATAACCTACTTGGACCATGAAACATCTGTAAGAAAACCATCAAACTCAGAGAGCACCAAGGACCCCCCAGTTCCTCTTGATCAACACCTTCTCAGTAGTAGCACTCCTCCCAAGTAAGATTATCGTAGCTCTGTCTCCATATCTGATTGTTGGCGAGGATCCTTAGAAAACCCTTGGTAGGTCAGATCAGAGCTCTTATCTTCTGCTCCCAGAAAAACACAATAACAGAGTTAGAAGGGACCTTGGAGATCTTCTAGTCCAACCCCCTGTTCTGTCAGGAAACCCCATACCTTTTCAGACAAATAGTTGTCCAATCTCTTCTTTAAAACCTCAGTATTGAAGTACCACAACTTCTGGAGGCAAGTAGTTCCACTGGTTAATTCTTCTCACTATCAGGAAATTCCTCCTTAGTTCTCGGTGGTTTCTCTCCTTGGTTAGTTTCCATCCTTATTGTTTCTTGTCCTGCCTTCTGGTGCTTTGGAGAATAGCTTCACCCCCTCTTCTCTCTGACAACCCCTCAAATATTGGAAGACTGTTATCATGTCACTCCCCTAGTCCTCCTTTTCAATAAAAACAAGAGTGGCATTTATTGCCACTCGGCTTTCTATATTTTTATACCTGGAAATTGCTGATTAAGCCACCCCACGTTAATCTGGATTGCCTGATATATATCTCACATCCATCTGAGATGAACTTAAGCTTTTCCCCTTGGTAATGAGTTAGCTAGCAAAACCAGGATTGTGTTATACCAAATTAGTTAATGTTACAGATGTTACAATGGGAGATTCAAACCAACCAACCAACCCAGAAGATTGAAAATGCACTCTCTTATTTCAGAAGACATAGCTGAGCTCCTAATTCTTTTAAATCCCATTTTGATTTTAAAGGACAATTGAGAACGTAGCAATTTCCTTAAGAATTAGTGTAATATTTTCAGAAGCCGGTCTTATCCTAGCCTCCCAGCTCTGCTTGTGACAACAGCAACAAAATTGCTAATTTGATTCCATAAATTTAATATATACGTGTCGGTAGCCGTTCGTTTTTACACCTTAAGCCATCACACAGAGAGAGACTTTAAACTAAATTGTATGAGAATGGATCCTGCTCTCCAAAACTATAGATTCTCTAAGTAGGACTGTGAGATAGGAGAAGCGAGGTGGCTGTTTTATGCGCTTGTGTTGCTCACAGTTGTAAGGATGAATTAACGTTAAAAGACTGTTTACCGCAGTGGCTTCTCTATTTTAATCCTAATTATTATTCCCCATAGCAAGAAGAAGCAGAGATGGTCAAATGGATTCTTTTATCCAAAGAAAAGATTATATTTAACTTTGTTCCTGTTTGGAAATTGCTTCTGGATTTTGTGCTTGCAATGGAAAAAAATATATATATGAAACTTCGATTTTGCTTTTGCTAATTAGATAGGTTTGTTGTTATAGAAATGGCTAGTACATACTGTTGCGTAACAGTAAAAAGTTGAGGTTGTAATGTTGTTATCTTCTCCTGTACTAAAGAGAGTTGGAAGATAGTGCCTTTTTCTTTCCTCTTCCCTCTTTACACCTTTTTCCTCCTCCCCCACTCCTCCTCCTCCTCCTCCCCCTCCCCCTCCTAGTTTTCTATCCCTTTTTTGAATTTGCCTTTGTATTTTAAATGTTCATCAACTAATGCAAACGTGAAGCTGAAGAGAGAGGAGGAGGGAGAATGGCTGTGTTAGGCGTGTGTGTTGCCCGCAGTTCGTAAGGACGAATTAACCTTAAAGTCCGTTTATCAGAGCGGCTCCTATATTTCGATCTTAATAATAAAATTCCTCGGCTGCATTGGGGAGTTTTAGAAGATACGGTGTAGCCCCGTCTGGGAGAAACTGAACCTAACATTAACCCCACACTTCCCCCGCACTGCAAAGATGCTCCGGAGGTAGCATAAGCTTGCATTTAATGCGCAAAATGAATAGCTGAGCTCTAAATGGACTCCCCGGGAGGGTGGTGGGACCCGTGGAGGGAGCCGTTAATGGGTTGCCACGTTATTGGTGCTAATCACTTAAAATGTGCTCCTTTATTAGGAGCTTTAATGAGAGCCACTTAAACTGTGCATTAAAAAGAGGAACTGCAGAGAAGAATGGTGAACTGGGTGGCAGACACTCGTAAGTCTAATTGAAATGCTTTTAGTACAGGGGGGAAAAGTTACCAGAAGCCAGTAATTCTTTGCACTTTAAAAAAAAACAACACTAAAACCTTCCATCACGTAGCATCGATTAATGTTTTGTTGTTCGGGGCTTGGGAATTGTATTTTAGTTTTGTCAGCTTTCTCCCCCTTTCCCCCCCCATGTCCATTCCTTTTCTTCTTCACCCTACTTTTATCAGAATAACAGCTGGAAGGGAACTCAAGGGAACTAGCCCAGCTCGCCCTCTACCATTCCAGACAAGGGGCTCTCCAGTCTCTTCTTAAAAACCTCCAGTGTTGGCAGCACCCACAACTTCTGATGGCAAGTTGTCCACTGGTTAATTGTTCTCACTGTTAGGAAATCTCTCCTTAATTCTAGGTTGCTTCTCTCCTTGATTAATTTCCATCCGTTGCTTCTTGTCCTGCCCTTAGGGGCTTTGGAGAAGAGCTTGATCCCCTTCTTCTTTGTGGCAGCTCCTCAAATATTGGAAGACTGCTGTCGTGTTCCCCCCTACTCCTTCTTTTCTCTAGACTGGCCAAACCCAAATCCTGCAACCTTTCTTCATATGTTTTTGTCTCCGGGCCTTTAACCGTCTTAGTTGCTCTTCTTTGCACTTTTTCCAAAGTCTCAACATTTTTTTTTTGTCATGTGGTGACCAAAACTGGATGCGGTTATTCCAGGTGTGGCCTTACTAAGACTTTATAAAGCAGTACTAAATGATCTTGATTCTATGCCTCTTGTTTATACAACCCGGGATTGTCTTAGCTTTTTTGGCTGCTGCTACACACGGCTGGCTCATATTCCAGCGATCATCCACTAGGACTCCAAGATCCCTCTCACAGTTACTGTTTTTGATCCAGGTCTTGCCTGTACTTTTTATTTTTGCTGCCTAAATGTAAAACTTTGCTTTTCTCCACATTAAAATTCATTTTGTTGGATAGGGCCCATCTGCAGGCTTTCCCCTCCTCCACCTTCAAATAAAATTGAGCCTTCCTTCTCCTTTTTTAATAACCTGTCTATGTTTCTTTGTACTAGCTTGAACACCTGGTCAGACAGTCAGTATGTGTCTCCGGCAGCCACTTGAATTCCAAATGGGTTAATTCTGCCTCGGCGTTAGCTTTACTTTGACATAGGATCTAATGAGACACTGCTTTTTTTAAATAATATTTTTGAGTGGGAAGAAAAATCCTATTAAAGAAAACATTCCCCAGCAGGTACTTTACAAGAGCATTGGCCTATAATTCTCTAACCTCTAACAGTCCCGGTCAATGTTGCATAATCATTTAAAGTGAAGAGATTTTTTTTTAAAAAGTGAGAATGCAGATATGTCAAGAACACCTGTTCCACAGTAGCTGGAAGAACCTAACATGCCGTGGAATTCCTTTTATTTTTAAAAAAAATGACAGAAAAGGAGACCGAATCTCTACATCAAACGCTCATATTGAAGGGTCCGTAGGGAATAAACCAAAATTTTCCTGAACAATAAAATCAAAAGCATTCATATAACGGGCAGGTGGGTTTTTTTTTTTCCTCCTCTACATGAGGAGAATCTGTAAAGTGATGCATGTCCTCTTCCTGATGTTCTGCCACATGTTTTCTTATTTATTCGATTTCTGTGGCCGTCCACTTCGACAGGGGAGGAGAATCTGGGTGGGTTTACAAGGATTAAAAAACATCAGGAGGAGAAGGAAGCTCCGTTGGGCTTTTCGGAAGCTACTGTTTGCAGACCCCACTACAGAGCATCACCCACAAGGAGGGGGAAACACTGAGAAGAAAGATAAAACAACCTTTTAAGATTTGGAACGTGCGGTTCCTCTTGGAAAAGTGAAGCCAGCAAAGCATCTGATTAGAAGAGGCAGGAAAAAAAAAAAAGCCAGATTGTATGCTGAATGCAAGGTGGCTGTAGCACATGGAATGATAAGATTGACGTATCAGATTAAAAATCAGGAATCCGGCAACACCTTTTCTGACTTAAGAGGTTGTGTTGAAAAGGCAAAAGCTTTTGTGAGGGCCAGGCTCTGTAGTGGGGCATGCAGACGGCGCCTTCAAAAAAAGCTTCTTCTTTCTGATGTTTTTAACTTTTGTGGGGCCCCCAAGATGCACTTTTTCTAATAATGTTTGTCACCATGGATTAACACAGCTCTCCTACGACAACAGCTCAAAGCAACATGAGCGTTGGAGGTAATCTTTACCGTCTGGATCAGAATTGGGGTCTGTCTTCTACCCCGTGAAAAATGCTAGACCTTTCCTGCCAGATCAGATTGAAGGACTATCTTTGCTATCTTCTGACCTAGCAGAGTTTGATGCTTGAGACCCTAGAACAGGGGTGTCAAAACTCAAGGTCAGGGGGCTCAGATCTGGCCCAGGGGGAGCGTGTGCTTAGATCTGTCCCATGGGGCCACCCTGGAAACATCGAAGGATCGGCCTGCGGTGCCTCTGCCAGCAAAAATGGAGCTCGGTAAGGCTGCAGGTGGCTCTCCAGAGCTAAGTTTTCCCTGGCAGAGGGTTGCGGGAGGCAGTCATAGCCAAAAACTGAGCGTGGGAGCCCTGTTTTCGCTGGCAAAGCGCTCGGGCCACCACAGACACCCCCAACACAAGTGATGCCGAGCTGGCCACACACCCCGCCCCCCCAAGTCAAACACAACCCTGATGCATCCCTCAATAAAATCAAGTTTGACAGCCCTGCCCTAGAAAGAGGGCAGAGAAAAGCCACATAGGTGCTTAAGGGTCTGGGGGCAAACAAGCCATGAATCGTTGTAGGAACTGGGTACATCTGGTTTAATGAAGAGAAGGACATTGGGCTGATGTGGTTGCAGTCTTCCAGTACAGGTATTCTTTGACTTACAACAGTTCATTTAGTGACCGTTCAAAGTTACGATGGCACTGAAAAAGATGACTTATGGCCACACTTCACACTTTACACTTAGGACCATTGCAGAATCCCCATGGTCACGTGATTGACATTCAGATGCTTGACAACTGACTCACACTTATGACGGTTGCAGTGTCACGGAGTCATGTGATCCCCTTTTGTGACCTTCTGACAAGCAAAGTCAATGAGGAAACCAGATTGCCCTAACAACCATGTCACTAATATAACAGCTGCAGCGATTCACTTAACAACTAGGACAAGAAAAATCGTCAAATAGGGCAAAACTCACTCGATAAATTTCTCACTCAACAGCATACATTTTGGGCTCAGTTGTGGTCGTACGTTGGACTACCTCTATTTGAGGGAACCGCCCCAGAGAAGAGGGAGTCCAGCTATTCTCCAAAGGGTCTGAGGGAAGGAGAAGAAGCAACGGATGGAAACCGATCGAGGAGAGAAGCAACCTGGAACTCAGGAGGAATTTCCTGACAGAACTTAGAATGAATGGAAGGACCTTCTCCACGGCTGGAGATTTTCAATAAAAGATTGGACAAATATTTTGTCTGGGATGGTATAAAGATTCCTCCCTTGGGCAAAGGGGTGTACTAGAGGATCTCTCAGGTCCCTTCCAGCCCTATCATTCCATGAAAACGACGTGCAGAGTCCTACCCGCCCCCCCCCCCCAGGGGTCCATTCAAACGCCCAGGGTCTCCAAGCCACAGAGTCTCTTGCTGGAGAGAACCCAAGTGGGGGGGGGGGTCTTCTAGGCATTTGCAATCCATTTTGTGGGCTTGTTGGGACGGTTGATTCAGGAGGGAGAGAATTGTAGGGGCGATAAACCTTTGACTCTTTCCCCTTATCGACCTAGGGCCAAAGCTCCACTGAATAATAGCCAGTTTCCCAACTCTACAGTTGTGCGATTCAAAGCGAATTTGTTGTGTCCTGCACAACAGAATTCTTTAAAAAATATTTTTTTTTTCTCCTGTGTTCAGCATAAAGAGCTAAGGCTGGGTTTTGGCCGCTTGCCTGCCTTATCATCGGTGTGAAAAGCATTTCATTTCCATAGACCTCAAGCAAACGCAGAAGGATAGCGAACAAATAATACCAAGGCTGCGGTGAAACTCACTTGTTCGGCTTCTTGTAATTCATTTGCACGGATGCCACACAGCTGCCGTAATAATACAAATGTTGGCAAAAGGGGTTTGCTTGATCGAGCAAGGAAAAAAAAATATATTTTTTTTTTTGCGAGAACAGTCCAGATTTCAAGCTCGTACCTCGCGCGATGAACAGAGTGCCTTTTAACACATTTCAACATAATAAAAGCACTGGCTTTTATTAAGCACTTTTATTTCATAATAGGGGCATGTTAAAATATTTCTACATTGTACCTGCGTTTTGGTCCACAGGCTGCCCTAAGGCATATAAACCTAAAATCAGGAACCCAGGCAAACATCCCCCTTAATGTAGTCAACACACCCCCTTTTATCTGCAGTGTAAGTACCAGGTTCACTGGGGTTGAGATAAATTTACAATAGATTAAATTTAAAGGTGCACGTTTAGCTTAAAAGAGCTGCCAAGTGTGGCAACGGCATTTCTATGTTGCAAAAATTGCGCGCAGGTAGTCCTTGACTGAACGACCACAATGGAGCCCAACATTTCTGTTGATAAGCAAAATGATTCTCAAGTACGTTTTGCCTCATTTGCCCCACCGTTGCTAAGTGAACCACTGCAATATGTCCCAAAGGGGCTTTTTTTTTTTTTTCAAGAGGCGACTGGACTTTCTGGTTTTTTCTTCGAAGACGTTTCACTTCTCATCCGAGGAGCTTCTTCAGCTCCAGCTGAATGGTGGGGAAATGGAAGGATTGATGCTCCTCGCAGACAGCTGGTCATTTGCAACCTTTTTAGAGTCCTTGCAGTTTTTTTTTTTTTTTAAAAAGCACCTTTATGACAACCATGACCTGGATGACTGAGATTCTCCATAAACAACCACTGCAGTTGGTAAGTTAGCAACCCCAGTTGTTCAGTGAATCTGGCTTCCCCATTGACTTTTGCTTGTCCGAAGGTCGCAAAAGGAGGAATCGCGTGACCCAGAAGAGACACTGCAACCATCCTAAATAAACTACCGGTACTGTTTTCCAAAGGAAAATAATTCTTTTTGATGGTGACGAATCAGCTGAAACTTTCGTTTTACCGGCATCTGTGGAAAGGGGACACGTTATGGGGAGGCGAGAGAAATACCTCCTTTCTGCTTGTTTCTTTAGGGAGTGAAAAAGGCTTGTCTGGCTTTGAAGTCTGATCTGGGAACCTCTTGGTGGTGCACCTTTCACAACTTGTGCATGCTAGAAAAATGTGTTCCTTGCGTACCCAGCAACCTTTGAGATTATTCGCCGCTTTATTTTTGTTGGCCAAGGAGATTGCAGGTGTGGTATTTCTGGAGACCTGGTGAGACTTAACTCTTGTTGTTTTTCCCCCCGCTTCCTTTTGTAGGATTTTTTCCTGGGAGCTCTCAGGGATGCGATGCCTTCCTGCGACACAAGATGACCCTCATTTCACCTTCCATCTTGAAAAAATACAGCATCCCTTTTGACCGGGTAGGTACCCAGACCGTTTGCAGGAAACCACCTGCTGATCCTGAGAAAGTTTTCCTTTCCAAGGGAGGAGCAGGAAGGAAAAAGTCACAGAAGCCTCTGGGACCCTGGGGGTCAGACTGCACTAAAAACAGGGACCAGGGCAGTAGTCCTCAACTTACACTCACCATCGGGACCGGAAAATGTATTGTTAAGTGGTGTGGTTGTTAAGCGAGACATCATCTGATTGCACCCAGTTTTACAACATTTTTAACCACAGTTGTTAAGGGAATTACATGGTTGTTAACCGAATCATATGGTTTCCCCAACGATTGATTGTTGGAAGCTGGCTGGAAAGTTGCAAATGGTGATCACACGACCCCGGAAGGCTGCCAGTTGAAGTCCACAAGTCTTAAAAGTTGCCACGGTTGGGCAGCCGTGGTTTAAGTCAGGAGTCCCCAACCTTTGGGCCACAGCCTATACATAACTGGGCCATGGGAGCATTGCAGGGGCTCATGGCCCCACTCGTGCAGATGTGGGCACTCACGGCTCCATCTGCCTGAGCAACGAGTAGTTGCACATGTGCGCGCATATCCTCCTGCCCCACCCACAAAGCCATCCCCCCCCCCCCCCGGTCTAACTCTGGGCTACCAACCCGGAAAGGTTGGGAAAATTCTGGTTTAAATGATGGTGACTCATTTGATTAGAATGCAGTATTGCAGGTAACTCCGTCCACTGCCAGCAGTTCGATCCTGACCGGCTCAAGGTGGAGTCAGCCTTTCCCCCTCCCGAGGTCGGGAAAATGAGGACCCAGATTGTTGAGGGGCGACAGACTGACTGTGTAAACCGCTTAAGAGAGGGCCGTAAAGCACAGTGAAGGAGTATAGAAGTGTTAAGTGCTGCTGCTATCTGTCTCCCCTCACCCTCATCTCATCGAGAACTAAGTTACAAGCTCTGGCAACGAGACAATAACGCGTTGCTAAATTTAACTGTATCTCCAGGTGCACATTTCTACATCTTGACTTTGTTATTGTAAACCAAACCTTATGCTTGGGAGGCGGTGGGGTGGGGGAGTTCTCTATTTCTCTCTCTATATATATGCAAAAGCACTTCCTGCACCGAGTTTTCAAAGCTAGGGCTCACTCAGCTACCTAAATCATGAACTTCCCACCCCAGTTTTGCAACTATGCAAATGGTGGCTTGGTTCACCCGCAAGCCTCCAGCTGGGTGAGCAGATGGCGCAAGAAAACTCTGCTTCGGATGGCTCAGCGCAGGCTGTTCGTACAGGTGGCTCGGGAAGAGATCCGGCATCTGAATTAAACTGTTGTGATTACAGGAGGTGCTTTTTTTAAAAAAAAAATTTCCCCTGCATAACTCAATCTTGTCCCCCTGGTTTCTGGTTTCACCTTCCCATCCATGGGTTAACCGTCGGTGTCGGAGGAACATATTTACATGGAAGAATAAGGCGAAAAGGGAGACAAATCACATCTGCTAAATGCAGCACTTTTTATTGTTCAAAAGAAGAAAAAAAAGAATATTCATAGCTCAGGGTTGAAATGAGGGGTGCGCTTGGTGCTCTCTGAGCTTGGCTGTTTTCCTACAGGTGTTTCATGACCCAACTAGGGAATGTCATCAGTGCTAGGAGGGAGTGGGTTTGCAGAGAGGAGGGGTGTGGGGTCCTAGGTGCTCTTTCTGAGCTTGGGTGTTTCCTTGGAGACGTTTCATGACCCAACTAGGTAACATTAGTGTTAGAAGGGAGTGGAATTCAATCTTTGTTTATATACTAGCGATTGCCCTGTCAATGTTGTGGCAAGCTTTCTTGATTAGGCTGCTGTCTACTATTTACTATTGTTCGTCTGAGTTGGTAGTTCCTGGATTGGGGTATTGTTTATTGCTTGATCGTTGGTTTAATATTAAACTTAGTATTCATCTTTGCTGATCTGGCAGCTGATTGCTGGCAGGGAGGTGTTTGGGTTATTTTTTTGTTTCCTCTTTGGCTTTTTGACCATCTCTTTTGAACGGTGTGTAGATATTGTTTATCTCTATGTGTCTGTTGATGGCCGATTTATCTGAGTAATCCTCTAGTATTTTTAGACATGGTTTTGTCCGGGATGCTCACTGTTTCCCAATTAAACCTATGGCGAAGTCTGACCCTGTGTTATGCAATTAAGGCGCTTTCAGTGTGTTTTCTGACCGCTGTTTGGTGTTCAGGGATGCCCTCTGCTAGTCTTCTGCCTGTTTGTCCTACATAGTGACGGTTGCATAGTTGACTCCTGTTTTTTTTTTCTTTCCTGGGTCTGCTAGATCTTTTGGTTGACTTAACCATGTTCGGGAGGGCTTGACTTGTGTTGCTCCTTCGTTAGCTTTTGATTGATGTGAGGGGCTTTTGCACTCTTGCTCAGGTTTCAAGAACTTACATTGTGCGTCAGATTGTGGTTCATCCATTGGGTGGATTTCATTAGGGATCTATTTCATCTTTGGGGGTGATGTAACATTGCTCACTTCATTCTTGGGGTTAAGATTTCCACCCAGTCAAATGCTCCAGCCCTCCCTCCCTTAGCCCAACTCATTTCACAGCGTTGTGGAGAGGGCTATTACTGTATGTTTGATATCTTGAATTGTTTATAAAAAATAATAAAACAGGATAAGTATAAATAAGTTACCCGACCCTAAGAAATACCAAGTATTCCTTCTGTTTGTCACATTCATTCCTCCAGGAAGGAGGCTCCATGGTGCTTCTCAACAGAAGGCAACCCTTGCATCTGCCTAAGGCCCATCCTGCCCAGCCAGTGGGCCCTGTAGTCCAAAGCATCTGGAGAGCAACCGGTTAGCCTGACCAGGATCTGCCTGCCGTGATGGGGAAAAAAATAAGGAGGGATCTGATCAGGATGCCTTGGATAGATTGATGTTATTTTCCTCAGGTCATTTAGAGCCACATAGTTGAATATAAAAACCTTTCATTGACCTGATAGCAAATCAACGGCTAATGCAGTGCTTTCAGCAGCTGCCTTATTTAAGGTAGACTGGAAGATGAAGGACACCGAACGGCTGTTTTTATAAAAAAAAAAAAAACAAGCCAGAAATCATTCTGTCTCCATATTAAAGCTGTCAGGGTGAGTCGAGGAAGAAATACCCTTTTAGTCCCTGGTGCTCTAAGCATTTCTGAATGGTTTTTCTCCTATGCCTAATTCCCCCTTTGTCTTCCTTGCCTTCTTTCAGCCTGTCCTTCCACTCTCCTTAAAATAAAATAAAAAATAAAACTAAATAAAGGATATTTTGTGTGTGTGTGTGTCCTCTGAGTAAATGGCATTAAGTAGTCTTGAAAGGAGGACCCTTCACAGCAGGGAAGAATATGAAAATAAGATTCCTTTGACTCACCGCACGCCAGAGAAGGGGCTCAATTTTCTCCATTAGGGCTTTTCTGTAGGGCTGCTTTTTTCCCCCCCTCCCTGACACTGGATTCGTTACAGGAAGTCAGTTTGGGTCAGCTGCAACATTGGGTAGAATGTGAGGAAAATCAGGCCAAAACAAAAAAAAAAAATTCCCCCCCTTTTTTTGAGTCTGTCACAGACTTCACTTGAAAATCAAATGTTGGAGAAGGAGGCTTAGAACGTTGCTAAATCTCGACCCTTTTCGGTGGAGGGAAAAGCGGGCGTTAATTTAGCATTTACTAAGGAAATTTAAATGGCCGCCCAGCTCGGTCATGGTGACTCGGAAGGCTTACAGAAATCAAACCCAGCTACAAACTTCAATAACCACCACCCCCATCCCCCTCGGTGACAACACAGGGAGCCCTCAACTTACAACCCCCAATTGAGCCCCAAATTCCTGTTGCTAAGCGAGAAAGTCATGAAATGAATTCCACCGCATTTGATGACCTTTCTTGTCACAGTTGTTAAATGGATCACTGCAATTGTTCAGTGAGTCTGGCTTCTTCCCGTTGACTTGGCTTGCTGGAAAGTCGCGAAAAGTGATCACATTGCAACCGTCATAAATATGAGCCAGGTGCCCCGTGTCCGAATTTGGATCAAGTGACCGTGAGGATGCTGCAACGGTCATGTGAAAAATAAGTCATTAGTCATTTTTTTTCCAGTGCCGTTGTAAACTTGGAACAGTCGCTCAATGAACTGTTGTATCAAAATACCAATACAGAGAAGGCGCTTCTTCTTGGTGCTACCAAGGAGGCCGCCTTAAGGTAGGGGACCCATAACATCTTTCCAATCTTATCTCCATCGGAACGATGCTCCATGGGGAGCCACCACAGAGAAGGCCCTTCTTTTTGGTCCTGCCAGATGGACCTCCTTAAGACAGGGGAGCCATAACATCTTCTTTCCAATCTTATCTCCATAGAGATGATGTCCATGGGGAGGGAGCCTTCTTCTTAGTCCCACCAGGTGGACAAGAAGCAATGGATGGAAACGAATCAAGGAGAAAAGCAATTAGAACTAAGAAATTCCCTGACAGAACAATTAATGAGTGGAACAACTTACCTCCAGAAGTTGTGAATGCTCCAACACTGGAAGTTTTTAAGACGATGTTGGATAACCATTTGTCTGAAATGATGTAGGGTTTCCTACCTAAGAAGGGGGTTGGACTAGAAGACCTCCAAGGTCCCTTCCAACTCTGCTATTCTACTCTACTCTACTCTACTCTACTCTATTCTTATCCTATCCTATCCTATCCTATCCTATCCTGTCCCATCCCATCATGTCCTATCCTGTCCTGTCCTTTCTATTCCTTAAGATAGGGCACTCATAACGTCTTATTTCCAATCTTATCTCCATAGGGATGATGTTCCACGGGGAGGGAGCCACCACGGACGAGGCCCTTTCTTTTGGTCCTACCAGGTGAACCTCCTTAAGAGAAAGGACCCATAAAAGATCTGCCTCCCTGCTCTAGTGGGTCAGGTAGACGGCCCTTAAATCACCTAACCCTAAGCCACATAAGGCTTTAAAGGTGACAACCGTCACCTTGAGATGGACCTGGAAGCAAGCTGTCAGCCAGTGCAGCTCCCACAAGAGATG